TCCGCTGCGTATATTTGAAATGCTTTATTTATGATTGTTTATGGATGTACTTGTGTGAATGGTATTCATGTACGCCTTGCATGGTTCGAGTAGGGTTAACTGCGGTTGCCTTAATCGGATTATGCGGCGGTTGTTAGCGCGTCCGGCCAGACCGGGGCGTGACAGCTAGGGTTCTGCACGTGTAAGGAAAGAAGAGAGGGAATGGAGTCGGGCTTTAGGGTTCGTCCTGGAATATACGGAATAGTTAAGAACAATCGATAAGGGTTGAGAATTTGAGATTAGAATGGAGATGGAATAATGACCCCGAACTAGATAACGTATTTCAAAAATCATAAATATGACCCCATTTGAGAGTGTCACTATGTTATATTGATGTGTTTGTATCAGAAATAATGACACTTATATGTAAAATAAAAGATATGTCGTATATTAGTGACACTAAATCCAAAAGTGTCACTAACAAAGTGTCACTATAAGACAGTTTTTTACTAGTGTAATAATGCATTTATATTGCCATTAATCTATCACCGTAAACTACAGAAATAAACATGATATGCTGCGAAAGGAGTTTTTGGGAAGACTATTTATATCTATTGTTAGCTACTCCTTAAAATGTAATAAATATATTTATATGTAACATATTCTTTGACTCAATAAATTCAACTAATTAACTTTTCCAATTGAGACTTGTACAATATTTACTAATTCATCCTACACTAGTAAAAAAAAAGGCTTATGGTGAAAGTAAATTAGTGTCACTAAACGATTTAGTGACACACTGAAAGTGTCACGGAAAAGCGGGGCAAGTGACACAAAATTTTGTATCACCGTTAACAAATCACTTTTGTGTCACAAAATTATGATATATAAACATCATTGAGAACTGTGATATATGCGTAACACGGATTTTTGTGATACCAATGCATCATGTTTTTTAGTGATATATACATATCAAGAATTTTTGTGATACCATGGTATCATATTTTTTAGTGATATACCAACATCAGCAAATATAGTGACATATCATGATACTGCACTATATCTTGCATTCATGATACATTAGTTTCGTTACTTTCTATGTTTATTTTTACAACAAATTAATTATTCAGATTTCAAGCAATACACTAAAAGATGTAATGCAACAAACACAACCAACTTTAAATACATCTCATCTAATAATAGTGTTAAGTCATCATTGTTAATTCTTCATGTTAGGTTACAACTTCCACAACAAAATGGGTGCATGTTTTCAGTTTCAAGCAAAAATGACGCCACAATTAACCGGGGCATTGCATAATAGTTTTACATTCCACAAAACATGAACCTACAATTCAACATGAAGTTTTCAATGTAACAGGCAAAACAGTTGCTCATATTCCTTCACACCAAAAGTACAAGAATTGATCTTCACCAGACCATCATTCAAAATCAACCGCATCTGTAAACAAAAAGTATGTACAAGTATAAGAAATTAATTGCACAATACGTACATATGCATGACAATTTTATAGAATATTACAATGCTTAGAATTGAAACTCGTATTCTACTACTAATTGAAGTTTGCTTTACAAACCATGTTAGAAACTCCTGCACTAATTAAAGGATCACATTTAGTTCAACACATTTAGTTCAACAGTGTAATTCAAAATGATACAAATTGATTTACTTTTCAAGTTCGTCTAACAGTGTAATTCAAAATGATTTACTTTTCAAGTTCTTTTTGTTGCATATGCTGCCCACTTCTCATTGCATTTACTTTTCAGTTAGTAAAGTAACATTGCACAATATGTACTTCATCAAGAAGTATAAGAAATTAATTGCACAATATGTACATTCTTTTTCATTGCATTTACTTTTGAAGTTCTTTTTGTTACTTAAGAGTTAGTCTAACCGTGTTAGTCTAACATTTCTACGACAAAATGATTTACTTTATCGAGTTCATAATCAGCTAAGGCAGCAACAATAATAAATCAAAATGAAAAAAAAACTTACTTTAGGACCAATTTTGTTGCATATGCCGCCCACTCCTCACGCACTTGCAAGATGTCTTGTTCAGAGTAGTTCTTTATTGTTGAGAACTAGAGTATAAAAATACAATGAGTACAAACATATACAAACTTCAATTAATGTTATCCCACAAAAATATATATAAACAGTCCACGTTTAACTCACATTCTTTTTCAGGACGTTAACATCACAAACAATGTCACTCATGTACTTCATCAAGAAGTATCCACATTCCATAGAACCAGTTTGCTTAGGGCACTAGATAAGTGTCAAGTACAAATTAGTATTATTATACAACATAATGTAAACATGCCAAATAGAATTTAGTTTAATGAAGAACATACCATGACTGTTACCCAATTCAGAGATAACCTCTTCATAGAAACCGAGGCATGATGAATTTTCACTACCCTGATATTCAAAGACAAGTTAGATATGAGTACATGATTTTTTCATTGACTTATAATTAAAAGTGTTTATTTTTCAACACAATGCTCTGACTGAAACAATTACAACAAAAGGCCTACATACATGCATGTAATTAACTACCACAATTATGACACTCAAAAATAACTTAACTGGTTCACAATTAGTGACAGATCTTCTGATGGCTTCTCTCCAATTGAGTCCAAATAGTACACTGTCCATGCCGTAATATCAATAGCTACTAACACCCAATGATTGCTACACATTACATTATAAAGTTAATCAATTGCTATAAAAAAATCCAGGTTGAAATAAAAGGATACGAATCAGTAGCAGAATAAAGATTTAGTGTAATACTTTTTTTAAGATCAATTCCGAGATTGTTAAACAAAGCTTATGATATTTGAATATGCATCACCATAGCAATTGAGCACAATCACACAAACCAACCAATTTCTTACAGATGAGCTTATGCACTTTAATTTGCATGACCCCAGAAAAGTAAATGTAAAAGATCATAAAAGATTGAGCACAATCAATTTGCACTTTGCATTACCAGTTTTTTTTAAACTGGTAGACCACTAAAAATAAAAGATCATCCACTTGCAGCAAGTGTTTTTATGTAAACCAGCAGGATTACTAACTCTACTTTCACTAGTAGTACTCCAAGTCAAATCATTGGTCAGTGCAAAGAAGGATTTAGTGTAATACTTCTAAGTTCTAACCATCTTAATTACCATGTATTATAAGGGATTAGCGTGATTTGGCCAAGCAAACCAACAGCCAAAAGATCTGCTATATATCGAGACCTCCTTGTAATGGACTCATATGAGGATTTCAAATTTTTCAATGGTACTGGTACTGCAGCAGACGTGCCAAATTGGACTGGCATGTTACCTCCATCTTGAAGCATCTTCTCATGCAAGTGCCTACACATTGAATGAAAAAAAATCACATGGAGTTTTATCCATATAGAGCTGCAAAACTAACATAAATGAAAAAAGAAAATTAACCACTCATGATAATTTTCAGAATGGATAACTTAAATAAATTATAAATCAAACTTACCTAGACCAGATTTCTACAACAGAATTGTTCACCTGCTCAAAGTTGATTACAAGGCCGCACACATCCTTATTGAAATAGATTTAGTTGCAAACCCGAATATTTCAGCATCATGTTCGACCATGTACCCATCTCCTAGGCATTTGTCAACTAGCATAGAAAACATCTTCATGCTATTGCTTTGCTCTTTTCTTTTTTCGGCAGCAAACCTTGTAGTTCTTTGCATTATTAGTTTCCTTGCCGGTGGTTGCCTTGACTTCTTCATCTTAGCCCTTGCATGTTCTTTAACAACTACAACACCTCCACCTTCAACTTCAATGAACTTCTCTGGAATGACTTCTTCCTTGAGGTGAGGAGGTTCAACCTCAAATACATTTTATAAGATGATTAAATAATCATTCATCATTCGCAGTAGTTATTAAATTATATTATTAAGATTTAATTTAAAAAAAAACATAAATTCAGATTATTATATTATAAAAAAGAATATGATTAAACAATACCTTTGTTTTAGTACCCACCTAGTTCACTCACAACCTCTTCTCGTGATGCTTCACTTAATGGTGCGTTATTAGCTGCTCAAACTACATTCTCCTCGGGAAGATTATTCATATGCATGAATCGCGGGGACCTTCTTGAAACTGCTGCGAGATGTTTTTTCTGGGGAGTCAACTTTTATTCTTCTAGCACTTCAGTTGCCTTAATAACCAAAATTCAGAAGATTAATAGGTTAATAACTTCATAAATATACACTCCATATGTGCATACCATTAAAGGATATGTTAACACATTTCACCAAGCATGCTTATATTTGCGCTATGAAATTTCAAAAAAAAACTATGTCACTCTGAATAAATACCACAATTAATAAGGATATGTTAATTAACCTGATGCAAGTGTTAGAGTAAACAGGTAAGCATACAATGACATAAGTGACTGAGTAAGGCACATCATATTAGCAATGGCGAAGGGCAGCCAATACAAAATTGTGATTTGGAGGATTTTATTTGGTTCCCTAATAAGGATTTTCCTAAAAAATAAAAGGAATAAGTAGCTTTTGTCTAATATGCATTATTGAACTTCTTTCTCTTCATGAATGCAAAACATAAAATTAGTACACCATTGAGAATTTTTGTACAACATACATGAATGCAAAATAGGAATCAGTAGCTTTTATTTAGGGAAAGCTATTGTAATTTATTTAAAACATCAAGATACTATACAATATTAATATAGAGACTTCTTTTCAAGAAGTCCATATAGAGTGAATATTTTTAAAACTGAAAAAGTATAAGGTCCCTAATTAAATAGTTGGATAATATTAGTGTTACAAAAAATATTGAAAAACACGTTGGATTTATATACCTTTCGCTTTGCTTTTGTATCTCCTTCTTCTTCTTCACTCTCATTTGGCTTGGGCTTCTTCTTCTTGGAGCTGTGGGGGGGGGGGGGGGGGGGGAGCTCCTGGGGACAGTACCACGACGTCTCTTCACCGGAGTAAGTTTTGGTTGATCTACCTCTTCAGCAGCCTATCAATGATATAACATCAACAAACACATATGTTACTTATTACCAGTGGTATTACTTATCAAAATTACTTAACCATGTCAGAAGTGGTTTTCATGTTATGCTTGTTTTGGTTTGGTTTAGACTTTAGATTAGATAAACTAGTTTAAAATCTAATTTAATCAGCAGTCACTTATGTTTTTATAACTTCACTTAACAGATTAGATAACAAGTTAATTTTAAGTTATAACTTAACTTATACTCTTGTTTTTATCATTTGTTCCTTTATTTTTGTTTCAGAAGTTTCCATTCCATTTATAGAATTATAAGCAGTCACTTTTTAAACCTAAGCCATAACTCAGAATTACATTACAAAATAGTTATAACCAAAGGTTGAACAATAAAAAGTTACTTATATATCAAAACAGAATGAGTGAAAGAACATGCAAGGGTTAAGCAATAGTAGAGTCTTATGAAGCAGGATATTCTAAAAAATTCAGAATGTGTGTATACCTTTACAATAGGAGATTTGTTGGGAATACTTGAACTGCCAATTTCACTTATGGCATGTGACACTTGTGTCCTCATTTCATCAAACTTAAGAACCATCATCTTGTACCTTTGCTCACACATCTCATGCTCCTTTTCCCGCTCAGATCTTGTCTCTTTTGGCCTGTGGAAGTATTGTGTTGGGGTTATGAAGTGTCCCAACCCTTGAACTCTACTGCCATTGGGTTTTTTCTTAAGAGCAGTGGAAAGAACATCAGCATCCCCACTAGGCACAAACGACCCCTCCTGTACTTTGTGCTTCAGGTCCTCCTAAACAAAGGTTGAGGGAACGTAGTTAGTTGCTAAAGAAGTTCTACATTAACATTTTTAAATATGAAAAATATAGTTACACTTACTATTTCATTTGCCACTTCTTTGACATCATCATCATAGGTCCCATCTTTTTTTTCCTGCCAAGCAACCACGTATCACAACGATCAATGTCTTCCAGATTTTTGACTCCAAGTTCTTTTTGCTGGAAATTAGAAGAAGAATAAGTGAAACAGTAATATAATGGACGAATACGTAGCTCAACACTATATATTGTTATAATAATAGGCATTCATAGTCATTGATGAAGGACCTGCTTTAAAAGCAAGCCTCCATATCCAGTAGAACCCAACCGGTGGTTCAAATTGTGCTTTTTTCGGCGCTCTCTCGCTTTTTTGCTTTTCTCTTGAAATGAAACAAATTAATACTCAAATTGTAGGTCTGTTACAGTTTACCAAAAAATCTTGAAGTGTAGGAGTATAACTTACCACAAATTCTTCGGAGAAAGTCTTCTTCACAAATAATTTCCATTCTTTCTTCGAAATGTGTTTGTACTCCGCGGGAGGTAACTCTAACTTCACCGGCTCATCCTCATGCTTTTTTGAATTGTCACTCAACACGAACAATTCCTACATACAATTTATTATAAAGTTGTTAGCCCTCTAGCAGATTAAGAGTTCTGAAATATAGCCTTGTTTTTCAACAAACATTATTTATTACCTTAAGATGGTTCCACATTTCATCTTTAAGTTTAACTTTCACATGTCTCCATTCATCATGCACTATGGAAACATGATCCCGCACTAAGGCACCAATATAATTGGTCAGTTCTGTCCATTCTTTACCTGCATGAACACCAAAGCTATTCACCTTTACCACCACCTTATCATCTGCAGCTTTCTTTAGTAGCATTTTCTTCTTTGTCTTTTGTCTCCTTTTAGGGCGTTGGCCCAAATCTTCCAACCCTTCATCCACATCAAAATCATCCACGACTTCTTCATACTTTGACATGGCTAGCTTTCACCTGTATACATATAATACAAATATGCGGTTATTATTGAATTAGTGAAAATCAAAATAGTAAGGAATCAAAATAGAAGAATGATTGAATTACGCTTATAACTTACTGAATGAAGTACATAAATCAGGGTAATTGAGACTCATTGGGTACTGGAATTGCATCAATGTCAATCCTATGATAAATTTGATCATCATCTTCAGCTTCCGCATCGTTAAAATGGTTTGGGTATTGTGAAGTTAAAGGTTCGTGTAATATCATTTCATCACTGTCAACATCCATACCATTACTAACCTTCTGCCCAACTGAACACACTATTGATTTTTTAGGATCAAGTTGATCTCTCGCATAAAAAACTTGTTTGGCATGGGAGGCTAAAATGAAACAATCATTTTTCTGACCTATCTTATTAAGATCCACTACTGTGAAGCCCAACTTGTCAGTTTTCACATGCCTACTATCTACCCAAGAACACTTGAAAACAACTCTCTTAGTCATTAGATAGTTCAAGACCCAAATCTCATCAAGGACCCCATAATAATTCATCGACGCTGAACATGGAGTTTTATCCTTAGAGCTAGAAACTTGAACAGTTTCTGCTACGAGTCTAACACCACTGTTTTGTGTTACCCGATTCGAATCTCGATCCTTAGTTGCAAAGGAAAACCCATTTATATTATAGCCTGAGTATATTGTCACTGTTGTGTTAGGCTAGCTAACCACCTCACTATTTCAGCGACAGTCACACCATTTGCAACATCAAGACAAACCTACAAATAAATATTAAATTTTAAGTAAATTTGACTCTTATTATTTGTTATGTATATAGATAAGGTTAGATTTATCAACTACCTTCTCTTCAAACCAGTTAACAAATGTGTAAGGAATAAATGTAATTAGATTTTGATGATGCTAGGATGTCTAGATTAGAATTTTAAAGTACCCCCTATTAGATTTTATGTATTAGAATTTTCATTTGTAAGTATTAGTGTAGTCGACGATCAGAGTTGCTCTGTTTTGGATCAGATCAGAAGTGCATCAGAACTGCTCGACCAGACTTGCTCTATGAGAACTGCTCCATCAGAGTTCTCTTGCCAGAAGTCCATCCGAGTTGCACCATGAGAGTTGCTGATAAGCTTGGACATCTGATAACCAATGAGAGTTACAGATCAGAGGTACTCATCAGCGGACCTATCAAAGTCAGGGTTAGAGTTCCGTCAGAGATCAGAAAGCCTTCAGAACTCAACTCATCAGTAAGCCATCAGAAACCAACACATCAGAAGAGCCTGATCAGAGCCCGAATAACACTTAGAAGATTTCAAGCAACATCCAACAGCTATGAATCCAACGGGTAAAAACATCCAACGGCTAGAAGACTGTGCATGAAAGGAAAGCATTTAATGCACATTAAATGAGCCTGATACGCTGAAGGATTGATTGCAAATGATTGACCAAGGAATCCGGAAAGAAATATTATAAAAATAGAAACCTTCCAAAACGGCGATCAAGTCAACAGTACGCGCATTTAATGCAGTTGTCTCCTCCTCCAACGGGCAGACAACCTCAGTATATAAGCTACTCACCGAAGAACAGGAAAAGTACCTTCGCAGAACCTTTGCTCCATCTGTTGCTCTGAACTTCATACTACAAGCTTTCTTGAGATTCAAACTCCACAACAAAAATACAAGAAAAAGCTTACGTTGGGAAGATTCAACCTCACAATCTTTCACCCCCAACAACGAGCAAAGTTCATCCTGTTCTTCAACACTTCAAGATCTTCATAACACATCATCTGTGACGAAGCAAGTTGGAGGAAAAACTTTGTTTTTCAAAGGATCTTCTGAAAAGAAGGGCGTCCAAGTAACTGCAGTTGTGAAGTGGTGATACTTCCGGGAAGCTGAGTGAAAGGACCAGCCATCAGGACGTGGAATTGCATCCTGGGTGGCATCTAGACTTGAAGAAGACGAGGAGTGCTTCTTAAGTGCTAGGAATTAGCTTTGTAACCGATCTACTTCAAAGCTAGTGGAACAGTGGACTAGAGGAACGCGTTGTTCCTTGAACCACTATAAAAATATCTGGTGTCATTTACTTTACTGCAATTTATATTCCTGCACTTAGGACATTAACTGATTAACTCTAAGACTTGGAATCTGTGTTCAGCAGATCTTGTTTTCAGAGTTATCAGAAAGGCATTTGCCTTAGTGTTTCTGAGGCTACCCGGACAGATCAGAATCCGCTGCCAAGGCCAGTTCTGATATCAGAACCAGCCTTTCTCTGTCACCAGAATCAGACCTTCTCTAATAAGTCACCTTGGACTTAGAGAAAATTTTGAAAAACCAATCAGTCTATTCACCCCCCCCCCCTCTAGACTGATTACCATATTGAACGGGACCAACAAGTGGTATCAGAGCCTCCTTGTTCTTGTAATCTTTTAGGTTACTCTCTGAACAAAGATCCACTTGTTCTTAGCCTCTATTTATTTGTTATTATGGATAATTCCCTTGCAAAGCATCTTATGTTCACAGATCAGAAGTATGATGATTGGAAGATCAGAATGAAGGCACATCTATGTGCCCTTCATGATGAAATGTGGGAAGTCTTGGAAAATGGCCCCTTTATCCAGTTCATGAAGATCAATCCTGCTCACTCCATTGATAACTCTCAGCCCCAGATGATTGAGAAAGCCCGGTCAGAATGGACCAAGGAAGAGAAAAGGCAGTACAATCTAGATAATATAGCCAAGGACATCCTCTACAAGGCTATTGATGAAAGATACTTCAACAGAATCAAGAAGTGCAAAATTGCCAAAGAAATCTGGGACAAGCTAGATGAGATTGGAGCAGGAGATGAGCAAGAAAGAGATAACAAGTTGACCATTGCAATGAAGAAGTTTGATGACTTCAAACTTCTGCCAGAAGAAAGCATTGCTAAGATGCATGAGAGACTGCTGATTCTCATCAGTGAGATTTCTGAGCTTGGGAAGGAGCTCACCATCAAAGAGGTCAACATGAAGATTCTCAGGGGACTGCCTTCAGCCTGGAAGATGAAGGTGATTGCTGTCCAGGAAAGCAAGAATATCAAGACCTATGCCACTGAGAAACTCATTTATGATCTCAAGGCTTATGAGTTTGAGATGCATGAAGAGAAGGAGGAAGCTCCTGATGAAAGGACCACCACTGCTCTCACTGCCAGCACCTCAAAGGTAAGTGACTTTGACCCTTCTACTCTTTTATCTGATGAGTATATGGCTGCTTTTGCCAGGAAGTTTAAGAAGTTTATGAAGAAAGATGGAAGGAGTCCATCTTCCATCAGAAGACCTCATCAGAAGACCAAATCTTCTGAAAGCAATGGAGAGTACCTCTGCTACAACTGCAGACAACCTGGGCAATTCAAAGCAAACTGCCCCTATCCAAGAGTGTCCAAGAAGCAAGGACATGAAGAAGAAAAGAAACCAGAAGATCAACACAGAAGAAGAAGAGCATTCGTCTCAGAGCAAGCTGAGAGAGATCCACTCTCTGAATCAGAGTCCAGTTCAGACTCCGACTCTGATGAAGCATTCTGCTGCTTGGATGCAGAAACTGAGGACCTCTGCCTCATGGCACAATCAGATGATGAGGTATGCTCCACCTCTGATTCTATTTCTTCTTCGGTAGGCACAGCCTTAAATGATGATCCAATGTCATCATTTTGGGAAGAGTTCCAAACTATCCAAACCACTTATTCTTCTGTTAAAGATGAGAACAGTAGGCTGAAAGTTGATATCTCTAATCTAAGAAAAGAGACTGAGTGCAAACTTAATCTCTTAACTGAGGAAAGAGATAGACTGAAGGCTGAAAATGAGTCTCTTCTTAAAAGAATAAGAGACATTGAGGAACTTGAGAATAGATATAATAGTCTTCTGAAGATGCAATCTTCCATGAAGAATATTGGTGACTCTCATAACTTCACCTCTGGTCTTGGATATGTTGAACCAGAGTCTGGTGAGCCTTCTGTAAGGCCTAGCACCAAAGTTGCTAAGGCTAAAAAGGTCATAGTGCCACAGACTCTGAGCCCCAATTGTCATGCTAGTACTTCTGGTACTAAAGTTGTTCATGAGAAGGTCATACCAGAGAAACAAACTCTAAAGGCCAAACAAAAACAAAGTTTGAAAACTAATGAACCTGGCAGAAACTCTAACAAAAGGAAAAGTTTTCAGAAAAATAATAATCAAAGGCCTAACCCTATCAGACAATCTCATGACAATAGTATCAGAAACTGCTATCAGAAAGGCAGATATCAAGAGAAGATTAACTATAGGCAGAAGAGGTTGTCTGGTCAACCTCAGAAGCCTAAAGTTAAGCGCTCCTCTGATCTTGATAGTATATGGGACTTCTTTCCAACAAAGAAGGCTATGCAAAAGTATGCAAACAGAAAGCATGATCCTCACAAGCATCTGCCCAAAGTGAATCATACGTCTGTTTACTACAACTACCAGGTGGACAATGGGTATCATCCACCAAGGTTTCAGTTGATGAGACCAAAATGGTACCAACTACCAAGACTGCATTACCCCCCAGGACCCAACATTGCTTGGGTACCTAAATCTCCCTTTTAATCTTGCAGGAACTGTGTGCTGAAGCCATCTCAGAACAGGAATGGTATATTGACAGTGGATGCTCCAGGCACATGACAGGTGACAAGAGTTGCCTATCAGAGTTCCAGAAAATCAATGGACCCCGTGTCACTTTTGGAGGAAATGACAAGGATGGTCAAACAAAGGGAAGAGGGAAGCTGATCAAGAACCAGATATTCATTGAAGATGTCTCATATGTCAAAGGTCTGAAGTTCAACCTCTTAAGTGCTAGCCAGTTCTGTGACAAAGGCTACACAGTTGAATTCACCAAGGCCTTATGCTATGTCAAGCATGAGACAACCAAAGAAGTGGTTCTTACTGCCAAGAGAAGAAAGAACATCTATGTTGTTGACTGGCAAACAGCAAAAGGTGGAACCTGCCTGATAGCCAAAGACAATTCAAAGCTAAGCTGGGACTGGCACAAGAAGCTTAGTCACTTGAATTTCAAAACTATCAACAAACTGGCAAGGGAACACATTGTAGATGGTCTGCCTGACATTGTTTACAAGAAGGAGATCCTCTGCAGTGCTTGTCAGAAGGGCAAACAAGTGAAGACCTCATTCAAACCCATAGCTGGAGATCTTTCTACTTGTCCTCTAAATCTGATTCACATGGATTTATTTGGACCAGTTGAAACTCCCAGTGTTGGTGGAAAAAGATACACTCTTGTTATGGTTGATGACTACTCAAGATACACATGGACTGTGTTCCTAACTAAGAAGAATGAAACTCTTCAGAAGTTACCATCTCTGTTAAAGCAACTTCAGACTGAGAAGAACATGAAGGTCAGGACAATCAGATCTGACAGAGGAACTGAATTTGTCAACAAGGTGATCAAGGATTTCTGTGATCAGAATGGCACATTCCATCAACTTTCTGCTGCCAGAACACCCCAACAAAATGGTGTTGCAGAAAGGAGGAACAGAACTCTGAAGGAAGCTGCAAGAACTATGATTGCAGAATCAGGATTGCCCATCAGATACTGGGCTGAAGCAATCAACACTGCATGCTACACTCAAAATAGAAGCATGATCCACAAAAATCATCAGAAGACCCCCTACGAGCTGTGGAAAGGAAGAAAACCTAACATCAGCTACTTCCATGTGTTTGGATGCAAGTGCTATATTCTAAACAATGGAAAGGATAATCTGAAAGTATTTCAAGAAAAAGCTGATGAAGGTGTATTCCTAGGCTACTCAAGCTCAAGCAAAGCCTATAGAATACTTAACAAAAGAACTATACAAGTTGAAGAATCCATTCATGTCAAGTTTGATGACAGCACCTCTGCAGAAGAACTATCAGAAACCCTGCAGAAGATCAATCTTGAAGACAAGATTTCAGAACCATCAGAAGAGGTCACCATCAATCCTGTATTATCAATTCCTTCTGTCAATCCAATTCTGATAGACAAAGATGAAGATGAAGAATCAGAAGATGAACCATCAGAGTTGCCTAGACAGCAACTATCAGAACCCGATCTAACTTGGTTAAGAGATCATCCTCCTAATCAAGTAATTGGTCAAGTCACCAGTGGTGTTAGGACCAGATCTGCATCTAGAAGAGAAGCCATGTTCACCTGCTGCATTTCTCAAATGGAACCAATGAATGTAGAAGAAGCTCTAGAAGATTCAGACTGGATCAATGCAATGCAAGAAGAGCTGACACAATTTGAAAGGAATCAAGTATGGAAACTTGTTCCTAGACCAAAACATCAGAATGTCATTGGAACCAAATGGGTATTCAAGAACAAAGCTGATGAAGAAGGCAACATTGTAAGGAATAAAGCAAGGCTTGTAGCAAAGGGATACTGTCAAGAAGAAGGCATAGATTTTGATGAGACCTTTGCACCTGTTGCCAGACTGGAAGCAATCAGGATATTCCTAGCCTATGCTGCCTACAATGACATCAAAGTCTACCAGATGGATGTCAAGAGTGCATTCCTGAATGGAGAATTGGAAGAGGAAGTCTATGTTGAACAACCTCCAGGTTTTGTCATTCCTACTCAATCTTCTTGTGTCTACAAGCTCAGAAAGGCCCTTTATGGTCTTAAGCAAGCTCCCAGAGCTTGGTATGACACATTGTCCCTATTCTTAGTGAACCATGGGTTTACTAAAGGAAAGGTTGACAAAACTCTATTTCAAATTTCTGTTGCTAATCATATTCTATTAGTGCAAATTTATGTTGATGACATTATATTTGGAAGCACTAATCCAGAATTATGCAAGAAATTCTCTCAAGTTATGCAGAACAAGTTTGAAATGAGCATGATGGGAGAACTCAGTTATTTCCTTGGATTACAAGTCAAACAAGTTCCAGAAGGCATCTTTATCAACCAAGGAAAGTACACCAGAGATCTTATCAAGAAGTTTGGAATTGATGGAAAATCTTCAGTCAAAATTGTCACGCCCCGGACCTCCCCGGACACGTCGACAACCCGCCGTACAATACGAATAGTCAACCGCAGTCCAACACATTCATATTATACAAGGCGTCATGAATATCATTCACACACAAGTCATCCATAAACAAACATAATAAGTAATTCATAACGCAGCGGAAAACATTGTTTAAAACAAAAGGGCCACACAGGGCTATTCATGAGCACGCAGGCTCTATAATAAAATATCCATGAGCATGTTTATTAATGTTTAAAATCCGAATGGAGGAAGCACGAACCAAGTCTTCGCCCCTAGATGATCTCTCGAGCAACGAGCACAGGAAGCAAGCTCTAGCCTCAACCTGAAAAATGGTGGTGGGACGCCCCCGAAGGGGTCAGCACTCTATACGGCTATAAAGTGCTGGTGTGGCAGGCATCTAATAGATATACAACAAGTATTTCAAACACAAGACCCTCAAATAGGGTGATAATACAATATAGTGGTAACCCCAAGTTACCTCGTTTGAAAATATACTTACTTTATATAAAAGTCAAGTAGTCGGCCCGTGGGCCCATGTTCATTTAGAAATCGCCATTTCCATTCCCCGTGACTATGAGCCACGACAATTCATAGAGTTCATTACATTACCATTGCATAGCAAGGGCTCGGCCCAACTACATTTCTATGCAATCCTTTATGTCAAGTTCATTATATTACATTTGCGTCCTATCACATTTGCATAGCAAGGTCTCGGACCAACTACATTTCTATGCAAATCACAATTTACATTCTATCACATTTGCATAGCAAGGTCTCAGACCAACTACATTTCTATGCAAATCACAATTTACATTCTATCACATTTGCATAGCAAGGTCTCAGACCAACTACATTTCTATGCAAATCACAATTTACATTCTATCACATTTGCATAGCAAGGTCTCAGACCAACTACATTTCTATGCAAATCACAATTTACATTCTATCACATTTGCATAGCAAGGTCTCAGACCAACTACATTTCTATGCAAATCACAATTTACATGGCAAGGTCTCGGACCAACTACATTTCCATGCAAATCACAATTACATCCTATCACATTTGCATAGCAAGGTCTCGGACCAACTACATTTCTATGCAAATCACAATTTACATGGCAAGGTCTCGGACCAACTACATTTCCATGCAAATCACAAAGTCCGGCTCTAATTCTTCATTATAGTCCAATTCCTAAGCAACCCTATGCCTAGAATTGACATCTCAATAATCTACCTCGGGTCATTCTCAATGACCGCCCATAACATGCCCTTAGTTTCATACTAAGTCATTTTATACACTTGAAGTACATTCAAGTTCATTCCATACAATCCAATACTTAGGATCAATTCTATCAACAATTTCAAATAATCACTAACTAGTATTTTCAATACTATTAAGATTATTGCCATTATACAAATATCTTCATTTTGTAATTCTCTACATATTTATAAGTATGTAGCATCAACTTAAATATTCCACTTCAATACATAATATCCATTTATGTATCCACATGTTTAATACATGAGTAAAATTCCTATTTCACAAAATAGTTCATTTATAACTCATTTAATCTCATATTATACATACATCCTCAAATCATTTCCAATTTCATTCTTTGGGAACCATATCAATATTTCATCAATATTTAATCATCATAATCCATGAAAAATTATGATTTAGGCATTTAGGTAATCTCATGCTTAACCTACAAGTTGTAAGCAATTAGATGTCGATCCTCACCTCAAATGAGCTTTAAAACCTTCCTTCTCGATCCAATGACCAAAGCCTCGGCCAAGGAAGATTGGGAACTAGTTCCTTGCTTGAAAATGGGTGCTAAACAGCCTCCTCAAGTTGCTATTTCAACCCCGAATCGTTGATACGAAAACAGCCCCTAGAACGGGTGTTTTCCGGCTAACTCGATTCCTAGTTTTCCAATATTTGCATCTAGGTTAGTATCTAACCTTTACATCAATTAAAGTCACATAATAATAACATTTTATACACTCCAATCAGTGTATAATAGTTCTTCAATCATTTATATGATTTAGGCAATAGGGAGGAAGGTTTTGGATTCAAACTTACTTTGAATACAAAAACGTTTCCTGCGAGGTTGTGTTTTGCTCAGTCAATTTGGAAGCCTTCCACTACTCCGATTGCTGCAAACCAGACCTTCACGGATTCCTCGTCTTGAGAGCTTTCTGTTGGTATCTCGTACGCCTTATTTGGATGTGTATAACTCGAGATATGAAGCAAACAAGTAACCCTTGCACTGGAGGAAAAACCTGCGGGCAGTTTGCTTTCTCCTTGCTCTTTTAGGTTGTGTGGCTCTCTTCTTCTCTCTTATCTTGGGGAGTTCGAATGGGAGCTGGGGAAGTGTTATCTTGGCCTTAACTTAGCCTCAAAAGTCAAAGGATAGGAGTGGGTTGGCATGTGGGATGATTGAGCAAGATACCTCAATCAAAAAAAAATGGGGAGAGGGTCCATTTGGTTCACAAACATGTCATGTTCAGCCTCCCCCTCCTTTTGTCCGCCCCAACCAAGGTTTTTAACTCATTCTCTTTATTTTGCAGGTGCCAAGAAGGTGTGGGGTGCTCCCCAAGTGATCCCAATCAATTTGGGGTCCAAAACATCTACCAATACTTCCAAAATTAGGAAGATGGGTCCTATTGTTTTATCTTTTGTCAAAGATGCCTTTTTGTACTCATCCTAATTTATTTAGAACAAGTCAACTTATTAAATCAAATTATTGATCTCCAATATGTGTAGGCTCATCCCAATAATTTACTTGATGGATATTTTAGAAGGAAAATCCTACTCCCATTATTTAGCTCAATAATGCCAAAGATGGGGTTATAGGCATTTGTATTCTCCTTTAATCATTCTATCACTTATGTGACATTTGTCATACATATTATTGGGCTACTAGCCATGTGGGTCACTCCCGAGTGGGTCTAGAACGCCATTCTCGAATACTTGCTATTTTTTTAACAGGTTGGGTCCAAAATGATGTTTGGGCCGCCCGACTTTCCTCAAATTGTCTTGAAGGATCATGTATCACTATTTAGGAAATGTTGGGCTCTTTTATTTATTAATAAGACCCAAATAGTATTTGCACGCCCGACACTATTATACGAGTTTGAACAGTACACTAATCGACCATTAATTACGTAAAACATTAATCGTTTCACAATTGTTTGGGAATCGGAAATTCAATACATAGACTTTGAAATTTTTTTTTTTTGAATTTTCGAAGGCATTCGGGTGCGGTGTCACAAGTCCACCCCCCCTTAACAGGAATTTCGTCCCCGAAATTCTCACTCTATTCAAATATGATAGCATAGTGCTTCCTCATCGTCTCCCCTACGGAAATCCTCCACCGGTCCCGCTTACATGTGTTCCCGGACCTTCATAAGTTCTTCGTCAGTTTCTTGACCCTTCTTGATCTCATCAAGCAAGGTCGGTCTCCCCTCAAGTCATGCCAATAAGGCACCATTGCTAGATACCTCTAATTGGGCTCTCAATGCCCTCAAACTAGTCAGCAATGCCCCAGACGAACTCTTCTGACTGAGGGCATTTGCTACAACGTTTTCCTTACCTGGATGGTACTTAATAACTTGATGGTAGTCCTTTATCAACTCCATCCACCGTCTCTGTCTCATGTTTAACTCTTTATGAGTAAATACACACTTCAAGCTCTTATTATCAGTGTATATGTGACACGTCTCCCCGTAGAGATAGTGTCCCCATATCTTCAATGCAAACACCACTGCTCCCAGCTCTAAATCATGAGTAGGGTAGTTTACCTCATGCCTCTTCAACTGTCGTGAAGCATAGGCAATTACCCCTCCCATCTGCATCAACACACATCCAACCCCTTGGATGCTCGCATCACTATAGACATCGTGCCCCATACCCTGTTTGGGTAGTGCAAGTACCGGTGCCTCGGTTAACCTCTTCTTCATTTCTAAGAACCCCTTCTCACATTTGTCCTCCCACACGAACTTAGCTCCTTTACGAGTGAGCTTCGTCAATGATGATGCCAGAACAGAGGACTTCTCCACAAACTTTCTGTAGTAGCCTGCCAATCCAAGGAAACTACGAATTTCCTTGACGTTCTTTGGCCTCTCCCATTCGGTAATGGCTTCTATCTTCTTGTTATCAACTGCAATTCCCGATCCTGAAACCACGTGCCCGAGAAAGCCAATCTCCTTAAGCCAAAATTCACATTTAGAAAATTTGGCATAGAGTTGCTTCTCCCGTAGTGTCTCAAGAACAAGTATCAAGTGCTCCTCATGCTCTTCCTCACTCTTTGAGTAGATCAAGATGTCATCAATGAACACAATCACGAATCGGTCCAAGTATTTGTGAAATACTCGGTTCATTAAGTCCATGAATGCCGCCGGGGCGTTTGTTAACCCAAACGACATAACAAGGAACTCAAAATGCCCATATCTCGTGCGGAAAGCACTCTTCGGTATGTCATCCTCCTTAATCTTCAATTGATGGTACCCCGACCTCAAGTCAATCTTTGAAAACACGGTTGCTCCTTGTAGTTGATCAAACAAGTCATCAATCCTAGGCAAGGGATACCTATTCTTGATTGTGACCTTGTTCAGTTGACGATAGTCAATGCACATTCGAAGTGTTCCATCCTTCTTTTTCACAAAAAGGACCGGTGCTCCCCATGGGGAGTGGCTTGGTCTGATGAAACCGTTATCCAAAAGCTCTTGCAATTGGGTTTTTAACTCGTTAAGTTCAGCGGGTGCCATACGGTATGGCGGTATGGAGATTGGTTTGGTGCCGGGCTCGACCTCAATCACGAACTCAATCTCCCTATCGGGTGGAAGTCCCGGTAAGTCTTTAGGAAAGACGTCCGGATACTTGCATACTACCCTCACATCATCAATACTCGTCTCTTCTTTGGTTTTGTCCACTACATATGCTAGATATGCATGACACCCCTTCCTCATCATGTTCTTAGCCCTCACAGCGGATATGACGCAACTATTGGATTTTGCCCTATCCCCCTCGAAGCGTAAGGTTACCCCTTCATTGACTTCGAGTTCAAGTACTTTCGTGTAACAATCGACCCTAGCATGATGCTTCTCAAACCAATCCATACCCAGGATTGCATCGAACTCAATCATACTCAGCGGCACGAAATCACACGACAAGTTTTGGCCCTCCACTTCCACCTCACACGATGGATAGTGGCAAGTTCTTTCCACGTCATCCCCTAGTGGTGTTGACACCACTAAGGTTTGCATCAATGGTGCGGATTGCACTCCCAACCTCTTGGCGAACGCTTCATTCACAAATGAACGTTGCGCCCCGGTATCGATAAGGATTCGCGCATCCTTCCCATTAATCTTTAGTGTTCCTACATTTATAAGTCATGTAAGATACCTTTCCTACCATTCTTACACATTTAGAGAGGTTTATTATGTTCACACATGTGTTAGGGATCAAGAAAAGGTCTTAATGTCGCAAAACGGTGCGAAAAAATCGGGTTTCGGCATTCTGGGTGCCAGGCACGGCGTGCCTGGGGTAGGCACGGTCGTGCCTGGCTTGGGAAAAAGCCCTGGGCGCTACTGCCTCCCAGGCACGACGCCAGGCACGGCGTGCCTGAGGCCGTGCCTGGCCAAAAAAATTTTTTTTTTTTTCTTCTCTTCGGGTGCCACTGCCTTCCAGGCACGATTCCAGGCACGGCGTGCCTTCGGGCGTGCCTGGCCAGCAGTGGCTGTTTCCAGCCCGATTCGGCCTAACTCACCCAGTTTGACCCCGGGGTGGCCCGTACTTAATCCCAACGACGTATATGATCAAAATAAGCCTAGAAATGACCCGAACAAGTGTATTACCTGCGACGGAGTCGGGATTAGCCCGAGCATCAGCCTCGGTCATTGCGTAGACTCTAGCTTGCGTCCTTCCTTGATTCACGGACGGCGCGTTACTCGCGCTTGCTCCCCCTTGCCCCCTGGTTACTTGGGAACCCCCGGCTTGGTTTCTACTTCCCGTAGCCCCGCTACTTGGTCCCGATGACCTTGCCCCACCCAATTGTGGGCAATTCATCTTCAAATGCCCGGCATCCCCACATTGGAAGCATCTAGGAGGGTCACGACACTTACCAAAGTGGCTCCTTTTGCAATTATTGCACCGAGCTACCCCCGAGGTCCGTGATCCTTGTCCATTCGGGCCTTGGTTCCCCCTAGGTGGGGGCGGTGGTGTTCGGAAAGATCCTCCTCCATGGTTTCCCTTTTTATTGGAACCTTGAGGGCCATGACTCTCCCCCTTTCTCTTTTTCGCCTCTTCGGCATCTCTCCTCTTCCTCTCCTCCCATTGTTTCTCCCCTTTCAACCCTTGCTCGACCACTTGGCTAAAGGTCATGTTAGGCAACTGTGTTGCCCTCTCACGTACCTCCAAGTCCAAGGCATCCCAGAAGTGATTTACCATCCGGTTCTCGTCACAAACATACTCCGGTATGAACTCCGCGAGCCCCCTGAATTTGTGTTCAAGTTGCCTCACCGTCATTTTGCCACCTTGGGTCAGGAGGGTATACTCTCTCCTCTTGACGTTCACCTCAAAATCAGAATAGTACTGGGCAAAGAACTCCTGTCGGAAATTCTCCCAAGTCACGGTATTGCCATACTTTCCCTTGGCTCCGTCCCACCATGTGGATGCCATCCCTTCGAGCAGTCTCACCGCCACCCTTAGTTTAAATTCGGGGGTGAGTTGCATGTCAAGAGCTGCCTCATTCAACCTCTTGATCCATTGAGCGGCAATCGAGATGTCTCCCGTCCCATCGAACGGTTTGCACCCCAAGTCCCTTACCTCCTTAATGTACTTGGAGATCCTTATGGTTGGACCCCCATCACCTCGGCCCCCATGTGGTTCGATGTGGGTCCTAGAGTCGGCATGGCTTCTCACTCCAGAAGCCCCACCCGAAGGTTGACCAGCTCGGCGCCTTCGGCGTTCCCTCCTTTCCTCACGCTCACGGTGATACTGTTGGAGTAACGCTTCGATTCGTGTTAAGGAGTTATTTTCCTCCTCGTCATCACTTACATCATCGTCATCCCCTTCGTAAGGGGTCTCAACCGGCTCGGTTTCCGGTTGGTAAGTCGAGTCCTCATAGGACCAATAGGTTTCATCCTCGGTGTCCACATGACCACCGCTCACAGTGTGCGATCGGCCTCCACGGCTCGCCCCTCTAGATACTCTAGAGGCCCCACGGCTTCCCTGCCCGGTCGCTACCGGTGCACGGCCCATCAGGTTCTTTCTCGTAACCCTGCCACCACCGTCCATTTCTGAAAGAATTTTTGGAAAGAGTCGTTAGACTCGTATCAAATGTCAATTGACGGATAGGTACTTAAGACACATTTTGGCTCGAGTCACCGCCATACCAATTGCTAAGGGTACCATCTTAACAATTAGAGACCTTGCAACCCAAGTACCAAAAGCTCTCCAAGTACAAAACTTCTATGCTCATGGTTTTCAAAATCTTTTCAAAAAGAGAATTTTGAGACTTCATTATGAAGTTTATGGACTAAGGCTCTGATACCAACTTAATTGTCACGCCCCGGACCTCCCCGGACACGTCGACAACCCGCCGTACAATACGAATAGTCAACCGCAGTCCAACACATTCATATTATACAAGGCGTCATGAATATCATTCACACACAAGTCATCCATAAACAAACATAATAAGTAATTCATAACGCAGCGGAAAACATTGTTTAAAACAAAAGGGCCACACAGGGCTATTCATGAGCACGCAGGCTCTATAATAAAATATCCATGAGCATGTTTATTAATGTTTAAAATCCGAATGGAGGAAGCACGAACCAAGTCTTCGCCCCTAGATGATCTCTCGAGCAACGAGCACAGGAAGCAAGCTCTAGCCTCAACCTGAAAAATGGTGGTGGGACGCCCCCGAAGGGGTCAGCACTCTATACGGCTATAAAGTGCTGGTGTGGCAGGCATCTAATAGATATACAACAAGTATTTCAAACACAAGACCCTCAAATAGGGTGATAATACAATATAGTGGTAACCCCAAGTTACCTCGTTTGAAAATATACTTACTTTATATAAAAGTCAAGTAGTCGGCCCGTGGGCCCATGTTCATTTAGAAATCGCCATTTCCATTCCCCGTGACTATGAGCCACGACAATTCATAGAGTTCATTACATTACCATTGCATAGCAAGGGCTCGGCCCAACTACATTTCTATGCAATCCTTTATGTCAAGTTCATTATATTACATTTGCGTCCTATCACATTTGCATAGCAAGGTCTCGGACCAACTACATTTCTATGCAAATCACAATTTACATTCTATCACATTTGCATAGCAAGGTCTCAGACCAACTACATTTCTATGCAAATCACAATTTACATTCTATCACATTTGCATAGCAAGGTCTCAGACCAACTACATTTCTATGCAAATCACAATTTACATTCTATCACATTTGCATAGCAAGGTCTCAGACCAACTACATTTCTATGCAAATCACAATTTACATTCTATCACATTTGCATAGCAAGGTCTCAGACCAACTACATTTCTATGCAAATCACAATTTACATGGCAAGGTCTCGGACCAACTACATTTCCATGCAAATCACAATTACATCCTATCACATTTGCATAGCAAGGTCTCGGACCAACTACATTTCTATGCAAATCACAATTTACATGGCAAGGTCTCGGACCAACTACATTTCCATGCAAATCACAAAGTCCGGCTCTAATTCTTCATTATAGTCCAATTCCTAAGCAACCCTATGCCTAGAATTGACATCTCAATAATCTACCTCGGGTCATTCTCAATGACCGCCCATAACATGCCCTTAGTTTCATACTAAGTCATTTTATACACTTGAAGTACATTCAAGTTCATTCCATACAATCCAATACTTAGGATCAATTCTATCAACAATTTCAAATAATCACTAACTAGTATTTTCAATACTATTAAGATTATTGCCATTATACAAATATCTTCATTTTGTAATTCTCTACATATTTATAAGTATGTAGCATCAACTTAAATATTCCACTTCAATACATAATATCCATTTATGTATCCACATGTTTAATACATGAGTAAAATTCCTATTTCACAAAATAGTTCATTTATAACTCATTTAATCTCATATTATACATACATCCTCAAATCATTTCCAATTTCATTCTTTGGGAACCATATCAATATTTCATCAATATTTAATCATCATAATCCATGAAAAATTATGATTTAGGCATTTAGGTAATCTCATGCTTAACCTACAAGTTGTAAGCAATTAGATGTCGATCCTCACCTCAAATGAGCTTTAAAACCTTCCTTCTCGATCCAATGACCAAAGCCTCGGCCAAGGAAGATTGGGAACTAGTTCCTTGCTTGAAAATGGGTGCTAAACAGCCTCCTCAAGTTGCTATTTCAACCCCGAATCGTTGATACGAAAACAGCCCCTAGAACGGGTGTTTTCCGGCTAACTCGATTCCTAGTTTTCCAATATTTGCATCTAGGTTAGTATCTAACCTTTACATCAATTAAAGTCACATAATAATAACATTTTATACACTCCAATCAGTGTATAATAGTTCTTCAATCATTTATATGATTTAGGCAATAGGGAGGAAGGTTTTGGATTCAAACTTACTTTGAATACAAAAACGTTTCCTGCGAGGTTGTGTTTTGCTCAGTCAATTTGGAAGCCTTCCACTACTCCGATTGCTGCAAACCAGACCTTCACGGATTCCTCGTCTTGAGAGCTTTCTGTTGGTATCTCGTACGCCTTATTTGGATGTGTATAACTCGAGATATGAAGCAAACAAGTAACCCTTGCACTGGAGGAAAAACCTGCGGGCAGTTTGCTTTCTCCTTGCTCTTTTAGGTTGTGTGGCTCTCTTCTTCTCTCTTATCTTGGGGAGTTCGAATGGGAGCTGGGGAAGTGTTATCTTGGCCTTAACTTAGCCTCAAAAGTCAAAGGATAGGAGTGGGTTGGCATGTGGGATGATTGAGCAAGATACCTCAATCAAAAAAAAATGGGGAGAGGGTCCATTTGGTTCACAAACATGTCATGTTCAGCCTCCCCCTCCTTTTGTCCGCCCCAACCAAGGTTTTTAACTCATTCTCTTTATTTTGCAGGTGCCAAGAAGGTGTGGGGTGCTCCCCAAGTGATCCCAATCAATTTGGGGTCCAAAACATCTACCAATACTTCCAAAATTAGGAAGATGGGTCCTATTGTTTTATCTTTTGTCAAAGATGCCTTTTTGTACTCATCCTAATTTATTTAGAACAAGTCAACTTATTAAATCAAATTATTGATCTCCAATATGTGTAGGCTCATCCCAATAATTTACTTGATGGATATTTTAGAAGGAAAATCCTACTCCCATTATTTAGCTCAATAATGCCAAAGATGGGGTTATAGGCATTTGTATTCTCCTTTAATCATTCTATCACTTATGTGACATTTGTCATACATATTATTGGGCTACTAGCCATGTGGGTCACTCCCGAGTGGGTCTAGAACGCCATTCTCGAATACTTGCTATTTTTTTAACAGGTTGGGTCCAAAATGATGTTTGGGCCGCCCGACTTTCCTCAAATTGTCTTGAAGGATCATGTATCACTATTTAGGAAATGTTGGGCTCTTTTATTTATTAATAAGACCCAAATAGTATTTGCACGCCCGACACTATTATACGAGTTTGAACAGTACACTAATCGACCATTAATTACGTAAAACATTAATCGTTTCACAATTGTTTGGGAATCGGAAATTCAATACATAGACTTTGAAATTTTTTTTTTTTGAATTTTCGAAGGCATTCGGGTGCGGTGTCACAAAAATACCTATGAATGCATCTCAAGGAATTGGACCAGATGATGAAGGAAAGAATGTTGATGCAACAACTTATAGAGGAATCATTGGATCTCTCCTCTATCTGACTGCAAGCAGACCAGACATAGCTTTTGCAGTAGGAATCTGTGCCAGATACCAATCAAAGCCCAAGGAGAGCCATCTAGTTGCTGCTAAGAAGATTATCAGATATATCAAGGGAAATCCAAATGCAGGCCTATGGTATCCCAAGGGAGGTAATTTTGAACTGATTGGTTATTCTGATTCAGATTTTGCAGGTTGCAGATTGGACAGGAAGAGTACTTCTGGTCACTGTCAATTGCTAGGAGGGAGACTTGTCTCCTGGTTTAGCAAGAAACAGAACTCAATCTCAACTAGCACTGCTGAAGCTGAGTATATTGCTGCTGGAAGCTGCTGTGCTCAATTACTCTGGATGAAGCAACAACTCAAGGATTATGGAGTGCAAGCAAAGGAGATCAAGCTGCTGTGCGATAACACAAGTGCTATTGCCATCACTCAGAATCCTGTGCTGCATTCAAGGACCAAACACATTGAGATCAGACATCACTTCATCAGAGATCATGTGGAGAAGAAGCACATCTCAATTGAGCATGTTCCAACTGAAGATCAGCTTGCAGATATTCTAACCAAACCTCTCTCAGAGGCAAGGTTTAACAAGCTAAGGGAAGAACTGGGAATGATGGATGATCTTCCCCGAGGTACATGAATCAGAGTTGCAGAAGTATCAGATGTGGACTCATCAGAACACCCCATCTCTGATACCTAAGCTCTTACCCATCAGAAGCTTGAATCAGAGTTGCAGAAGCACCAGACGTGGATCCATCAGAACTCATCATCTCTGATACTCTTTTCCATCAGAGGACCCTGTATCAGAGTACTCCTTATCTGATACATGGAGTGCTATTATCTATCAGAGTGGCTGTGGACTTAGAAAAATTTTCTAAATTTCGGGCGAGACTGTTCAATAAACCGGAAGTTACCATTTTACCCCCGGTAGTTATTACCATATTTGGAAAACGGCTTTCCGCCCACAATCCATTTAATGCGACCTCGAAACCGCAAATTATATCAAACGTCCACTAACCCAAAATCATATATACTCTTTCTGAAACCTAAATCGCTACTGCAATTCTACTCTTCGTCTTCAAGCTTTATTTCTCCAAATTTCCAACCTTCAAATCCCCTCAAATCTTTCCAAGAACCTGAAAATGAAGTTCATCAACATCACCGACCTCTCTGAATCGGAAGCCAAGGCGCTTGTGGCTAACATTGCCACAGGGATGAAGGTTGACATGTCCTCCTTGCCGTTGCTGGCAGAAAACAAGAAAATCATGAAAGAAGTCATTGCTGGGATGATTGACTCACAGCTAAACAAGATTGTAGCTCATCCTTATGAGCACTTCAGCAACTTGGATGTGGCTGAGTTTTATCTCAACGCCTACATTGCTGACAACACCATCCACTCTCAAGTCCAGGGGAAGGACTTGAAGATTGATGCTGAATCACTCAATGGGTTCTTCGGGATCGAACTTGACTCTCAAGACATTGACACCCCGACACTCATCGACTTGGAGTCAGTCGAAGTCTCTGTGGAGACATTTGTGGACACCTACTGCCGGGATGATGCAACCGGAGTGGACAAACTGTACATGAAGAAGAATGTCCTGAAGAAGGACTTTGAAAGGCTTATGAGCATCATGCACAGATGCCTATGGTGCAAAACTGGGTCAACTGACCAGATGAACAATGCCAACTCCAAGGCCATCTTTGCAGTTCACAGGGGCATGAACATCAAGTGGGGAAAGGTACTCTTCCAGTCTATCTCTGAGTCCATTGCTAAGAAGGACAAAAAGACAGGGATGTTCTTCACCAAGATGGGCCATGGACTTCTGATATCTAGACTCATATCCACTGTCAACATAGCGCTCAGAGAAGCCAATGAAGTCAACCACAACAAGACCATCTTCCTCACTGCTTCACCCAAACTCCATGTAGCTATTGCTGCAGAGCTGAAGAAAACTAGCAAGCTTGAGCAACTGAGAGAGAAACAAGCTACCGCAGTTGAGGTTGATGATGAACAACCCAAGGGCAAGAAGAAAAAGCTTCAAAAGAAGCCTGACACCACCCCAGAGAAACCTGCATCAGAAGATGAAGCATCAGAGAAGGATGCAGCAGCTGAGGTTCCTGTCAAAAAGTTGAGACAGAAGAGGAGAAGAAGAGCTATCATTCAGAGTGACTCTGATAGCTCAAAATCTTGTATCAGAGTGCAGAAGAAGAAGAAGAAGAAAACTAACTCTCCCCCCAAAGAATTAGAACCTCAGGGGGAACCTGCACCAGAGTTGGCTGCTGCACAAGAACCAGCGCCAGAGAAGGCTGATGCTCAGGGGGAACCTGCATCAGAAGCCCAACCCTCCTCAGAACAAGACTTGCATATCTCTATCTCTCCAGTACTTCCAACTCCAGAGGATGAAGTTCAAGATGACAACCTTGCTGCTCTGAACAAACAGTTCACCAGAGTACTAGCATGGAGGAAATGGAGATTGGGACCACTCTCCAATATTTTGCAACAGTTTGGATACTACTCCACTGAAGAAAAGGAAGTTTTCATCTGGACAGGCACTGATGATGTGATCAAGTGCACTGACTTAAACTTTCTGGAATCTGTTCTAGCAGAGAAAAAGAGAAACTTCAAAGGCAAGGGACGTCTTTCAGCCTCAATTGCAGTGGAGCATGCTGCTTCAGATGTTCCACCTCTCACTGAGCAAGAGGTACCACTTTTTGAAGCTTGGCTGGTGGAGAGGACCATGAGGGACTCTATGACACCTCAACAACCAGCTGGAGGACCCTCTGATGCAAACCTCATCCTTGCCAATCTGATTGCTGATTGGAGGAAAGCCCAGCAACAGGAAATCGAGGTAATTCCTAACTCTCCTGTCCCCCTACCATCACCTCCCAAATCCCCTTCACCCAAACCAATCACACCAACCACAACTCCACCCCCATCCCCTCAACCTCTTCCAAATTCACCAATAGCCACACCCAAGAAAACTCCATCACCTAAGAAACCATCCTCATCTAAACAACCATCACCCTGCCACCAGAAAACCCCCATCAGAAGCCGCTCACCACCACCTCCTCCTTCACCCCAACATCAGAATACCCCGCTCTGCAAGCTCAACCTCATCAGAGCTCAGCCAATCAGAGATCCAAATCTTCTTCTCATCAGAAATCCTCCAAACCTCTCTCTCCACAACATTCTGCTGCTTCCACTCAGAAGAAAGAACATGTTGTACGGATTCTATCTTCCACTGAAGACAATGATGGTTTTCTCACAGCTTCTATGGCTGGTGATCTTCAATCTGCCAAGAGAAAGACTCCTACTCCTCCTCTATCTCCTGATCAACCTCAACCTCAACCTCAAATCAATGATATACCTCAGCCAGAACCACCAAAAGCTGTCCTCATCCCCTTCCAGGAGTTTGTGGAATCAGCTGAAGAATTTGGAGACCAGATGGTTGCTGGGATCAACAAAATGCTTGTACTAAATCAGAAGCATGATGCTCATCTTGATTTGGTTCAGTACAACATTGAGTCAGAGCTTGCCAAGATATCCTCTACACTCTCTACCTTGGCCACTACCTTCTTGAGCTACATAAAGACCTCTAATGAGAAGGTTGATAGCATAGCCACAGAGGTTGCTAGCCTACACACTGTCTTGTTCTCACAATCTCAGACTCTGACAGCCCAGGACAAGGCCATTCAAGAATTATCTGATGCTGTTGACACTCTACAATGGTCTCATGACAAAAATGCAGAGCATCTGACTGATGTGGAGGAAATCTGCAAGACAAACAAAGAGTTTGGACTTAAGCTGATCAACAGTGGAAAGGACAGAGATCACAAGCTGACTCTCCTTGAAGCTACCACTAAGGATATTCAATCTGCAGTCGATAAACAGAAAGAGCTGATAGAAGGGCTGGCCTCAGTGACTCAGACACTCCCAGGTGCCCTAGAAGCAATCAAAGAAAGCAATGCTACAGAATTCTCGAAAATTGGACTCCTACTAGGTGATCTTGTTGATGCCAAAAAGGGGGAAGATATCAGAGAACCTGTTAAAGCCATCAGAGCTGCAGAAGGCACAAGCACCAGAGCCCTGACCCCTATCTCTGGTAAGCCTGATCCTTCAATATACTTTGAGAGAGCCAGGCAGAAGCAAATTGCTGCTGGTATTCAAAGACCTCCTCCTCCTCGGTCCAAGAAAGGGAGGAAGACAGCCTCCACCTTCACCTTGGCCCAATGGCTCAACAGTGACCTGGCTAAACCTGATGCTGCTCAATTCAGAGAAATGAAGAAGCATATGACCCCTATACAACAAGAGAATCTCATTTTGGATAAAGATGGGCTGATAATCATAAACCATGGTGGCTCAATGCAAGAAGCAGAAGATTGGTGGCGGATGAAAGTGATCCCTGGCAAGGACCTATCAGAAGCCATCAGAAATTATCTTGATTGCAAGCTTGAACCTGCTTGGTCAGAATATCAGTATCCCAGGAATCTTGCTACAATCAGAGCTAGGGTAAATGCTGATCTGAAGGAAATTGAAGCAAAGGAAGCTGATCTAGAAGAGGAAGATATCTAAACCTTATCCTCTTGTTGCTTTTAATATTCTTCCTTAATAAGATAACCAGCTTGTCTCTATTTTGCATGGCAATTTCAATTCTCTATTGCACTCTGATTATTTATGCTCTAATATCTTGTGTTATTTCTTATTCTGCTTATCTGATTAATTGTATCTTACTCTTGCTATTTTCCTATGCTAAGTGCCCACCAAGATTCTAAATGAAATTTTTTTTAACTTATTTTCCTTCATGGTGTAAGGCACTTCTCTGGAAATAGTTTAAGGGTTTTGGCATCATCAAAAAGGGGGAAATTGTAAGGAATAAATGTAATTAGATTTTGATG